TTTCTCACTTACAGATTTCCCTCTACATCACATGCCCACAATATCATCACAGGCTCTGCTTCTTGTTCTTAAGGTAAGACCCATTTGAGACCAGAAGATGGTGTATGGTTATGTTGCTGGACTCCCACATAGTTGACCATGGTTTGATTCCACACAGGTCAAACAAGCAGTTTAAAACTTGTGCCAGGCACTTGTGCATGTGTACCCAAGATCTCAAGAGGAGAATGGAGGAGAAAGAATTACGGCATGGCCATCCCCCAAGGGAGATGATCCCCCACCCCCACGGCCTCTCTAGGGAGCACACACACCCTGTAGCAAAAATCTCTCCCTAAAATAAATAAATAAGTAAAGATAAAACTCACTCTTCTTTATCTGTTCTTGATAAACTCTACTTTTCCACTGCCAGAATCTACCATACCACCAGCAGACACCAAACTGCTGTTCCAGTAGCTAGTCCTTCTATTTGTGGTTCTGCCTGTTGGAAGTATGTGAATCCCTCCAACATATTCTCTGCAAATATAGGAACCTGGTCTTCCACAGGAGGTGTGGGGCATGTGTATGACTTGTCTTACTCTTTGAGGTCCCAAGTCTTCTGGCCTCTCATAGCCAACCTTTGTTCTGGCTATTCCACAGTATTGGAAGGATGTTAGCACCCTATCTCAGTCCCATGTAGTACATTTCACTTCTCTTTAAAAGAATTAATCATAACCATAACTCAACATTATTTGCCATGAACAGGCACTTAATGTGTGTTTCCATACCAGACTTGGACCTCCTTGAGGATAGGAACTTACTGGTTTACCATGACCTCCTCAGTTCTTGTCAAGGTGCACTGCTTAAAGACACTTAATAAGTACCATGAGAGGGAAATAGTAGTCACCAATAATAATAAAGACCATTTCCCCCAATTTTATGTATATCATTCTCACAACAAACTAGGCAAGAGAGGCCTTGGTTTGCTGCACCTAGCTTATACCAGTTTGCTCAGTTCAGTAGAGCTAATTGTTAAACACTAGAGAATTTTCTGTGAGCCATTGGTAACTTGGAGTCAGACATGGTCGGGATATTCACACTCCAGAGATCAACAAATCATCAGCACTTTTCTTTTACAGGTTTATCAGCAGATCATTGGCAAAAGGAGTGTTGCAAAAATGGTTTTTGAGTGAATAGAAAAGGATCATTTTTAATATGGTACTGTCAAGCTTCAGGGAGACTGAGGGAGACCCTTACTGTCTCTGAGCCTTGCTGTAGTAAGATGCTGCCTATAAATGTGTTTACTCATTTCAGCAAGTTATGTTTTGAGCACCAGCTATGTATCCAGAATGTCCAGCCATGGTCAATCTGATTGAGAAATTAGTGGCTAGTTAAGACAAAGTGGCCCCTCATGAGAGCGCAGCAGGTGGTACTGGGCCCTGTCCCAGGAGCCCCCAGAGCCATGATTGGATCAGTATTTCATGCCTCCCCACCAACTGAGGACTGAGAATGGCCCTGCTGTTATAAACCCATCATCCTGTGAGTGGAGTTAGCTCTCTGTGTTACCCTTTCCCAGGGCCCATTCCACAAACTGGGCAGTTCCTCCACTTCAGACAGCCTCACTCAGCCTGAGCCAGGGGTCAAATATGAACTTCAGTCCCCTCTGGGATCCTTTCTGGCAGGGCCATTTCCTGCTCCACTCTAAAGGCAATGCGGAGCACACCGGTAGTGGTGACAGGCAAAAACTCCACTAGGAATCACACAGATACTGTCCCTATCTGCACAGGTGCTATTATGGGTTGAATTCTGTCCTCTTGGTTCCTCATAATATGACTTTACTTGGTCATGGGGTCCTTGCAGATATAATGAGTTAGGATGAGGTCATGCTGGAGTAGGGTGAACCCCTAATCCAATATGACCAATGACCTTACAAAAAGAGAACACAGACATACATACAGGGAGAATGCCATGTACAGACAGGACAGAGATTCCAGTGATTCTTCTTTAAGCCAAGGAATGACACAGATCCTCAGCACATCCCCATATTCTGGGAGAAGGGCACAGGACAGATTCTTCCTCAGTCCCCAGAAGGAACCAATCCTGCCAATACCTTGATTTCAAACTGCTGACCTCCAGAACCGTGTGGCAATAAACTTTAGTTTAAGCCACCTGGTTTGTAAGACTTTGTTATAGGGGACACAGGAAACTTCTAAAGGTCCCTTGCTTTGCTACTGTCCAAATCAGGCAGCACTGAATTAGAACTCAACTGACTAATGGAAACATTATAGAAAGGTAAGGGTTATAGCCTCATGCTGGAGCTAGGTGTATGTTGAATATAAGAAGCTCTAAGCTTGGTATCAAATAAGAATGACCCTGAAAGAATGCTTGGAGCTATTCTATGTGGCAAGTGCCTGGTCCTACAGGACCCACAGAACTGGCCACAGACACAGGGTGGACTTTCCACAGTCTGGGACAGGGAAGCAGCAAGGCACTTCATGACTAAGCACTGGCCTAGAGTCTAACAAGTGATCACACTACAGGGTCTGGATGCCTGCGGGCAGACCCATAAGGAAAGTGCCACGATAGAGAGGGGGAAGAGCTTGGGGAGAGATTGATGACACTCTGTAATCTACCTCCAATGCTGTGGAACTCCCAGTATTTTCCTCCATTAAAAGGAATATTGTTTCTATCATGTCTGCCAAGAGGGAATTTGATCCAATTAGTCAGGAAGGGATTGGAAGGGAAGGGTCAAATATTGATATCTGGCCTTGATACAAACTCTTCATGGGCAATGTATAGATTTAGATTGGGTTTGCCTTTAATTAACCCTGGATACTCCAAGGTCTGGCATGAAGTAGACAATAGTCAAACACAGGCCTCCTCCCCTTTGTCCTATCTCTGCCTTTCCTATTCTTATCTGATGTGGTACTGAGAGGGGATAACTCCTTGAACAGTTGTGGGTAGATATTCTGTATAACCCACCTCTCTGTTTTATTTCTGAATGTTATTGGAACCCTGTTTCTTTGGGCTGAAGTGTTGGCTCTCTCTGAACTGAAAAACCAGGGTGTGAATGCTTGGGATCCCCAATGCTCTGACCCCACCGAGCCCTGCTTGGGCATAGCCAGTTGAGCATTTATATTCATTCATGTATCTCTATCCCTTCGCACACCCACCCTTCACATGTACTCACACTCTAATAAAGGGTGACTTTAACCTAAGGTCAAATGAGAGGGGAAATATATGCTAAGGAGAGGTAGAGAGCTTTTCTGCTCTAGTCCTCAAAATGCAATTACAATGCAACTCTGGAGAAGCCCAGCATGACAAGACTCTATGCCTACAAGGATTGTGGTTCTGAAATTGCCAGGAAAGTATATAGTCTTATCTATTCTCTTCCATTGTCTCCATATGAATCTATTGCCTGTAAAGTCACAAAGTACACTCAGGAGGGCGTACATTCAAGAGGGCATCCTTAGGATCCCGCATACCTCTTGGAGGGCAGAGATAATTGCATCAACCCTTCCCTTATCTAGAGGCCAAAAGCTATCAGGGAGCCATGGGGTACCCTTATGGGGAAGATGGGAAGGAGGTTTCTCTTGAGTTTCCTTTCCTCTCAGCTACCTGTTAAAATGGGCTGCTGCAGACACTCAGCTGTCCTGATTGCTGCCTGGAGCCCTAGTACTACCCAGCTGACAGTGTTCTTCCTTCTATATTACCTGTTTTCTTCAGTGGAAAAGTCTGCCAAGACCTGTGATTTGTACCACTTTTGTTTGCAGGCCATCAATTCTCCTTGCCTCACAGAGAGCATTTTATCTCTTTGCATCATATAGCCTGAGTTCCTGAGAGGGAACAGTTAGGGACCTGCCGACCTCAATGACTTATGTGAAATCAGGATAACTTCTTGTCACAAGACCCCTTGGTGCTTCTGTTTTCTTCCACTTGCATCTTCCCTTTTGTGCCTGTATATTGAACTGATTTCCTACAAAGTTATAAAAGTCATGTGTGAGAGGTCTTAGAGCATGTTTTGTCAAATAGCTAGAGATATTTTCTCTCTGTGTCTCTGTCTTTCCATCTCTGCCCATATGTGCGTATTTGTGTGTGTCCATATTCATGTACATGCACGAGTTACTGTCATTGTCTATGGTTTATATTTGATTCTCTAACTACCTATATTTATAATTTTCTTCTCCTTAGAAGCAATCTATGAAACAAAGCATGCTGTCGATAAGTGCAGGGAACAGAATAGAACTGCCCAATTTTGGCGTATGAGTATGGGGGAAGCCGTTAAAAATATCAATTCTATAAAAAAAAAAGATAAGCCTGATTTCTAACCATTCAACCTTGTAATAGGTTAAATGATAACAAACCATTCATTGATTTTGTTTTTTGAGAAGAGTAATAAATAGAAACATGTACCAATTGAAAGAGCCAGGCAATTCAATTATAATTAGGAAAACAAAAGTGATGAGCCTGAACAATGCTGCCTTCATTTTTGGGGGCGAAGTGTTGAAAGTGCCAACTACATAACAATGCAGTGTTTGTTTTCTCATTATTAAAGGCACCAACACTAATCACCTCAATTTTGAAAGCTGCAGACCAATTGAATAAAATATAAAACCCAGAAGATAAGTCTAATAGACATGGAAAATACCCACATAAACATAGCCCTATATACAATGAAAGCAGAAGATTATGTGAGTAAATTTATACTCATCACTCCACTGACTAACATGCCAATTCATCTATTCATAAGTCCATCTAGTCACCCATGCATTCACCCATTCATCTACCCATCTATCCATCCATCCATTCACTCATTCTATAAATACATTCTAAGCTCCATGGTTTAGGCACTGTGCTATCAATACATACTTTAGAATGTATGGTTTAGATGCAAATGACTGCAGTGAAATTAACAATTCTTTCTTGTTTTTAGTCTTCATTGCCTCAACTTTCCCTGTGTGGCTAAGGGGAGAAATATTTAAATAGTTGGAAAACAGATGAAGACAGACAAAGACATGCCAACATACCTTTTGTAGCCAGACGAACACAGTTGATTTTGGTCTCCTGTGAACAACAAAAAGGAGGCACCCATTAATTAGTTATGGATTATATATTATAAGAAAAATATATACATATATTTGCATATATATGCTTACATATGTATTTTAAATTATAATTTAAAATTTGCCCTTTCCATTTTTTACCACTGGAATGACCTTTTAATTCCATTTCTTTATTTTCTCTCAGGCTAGGTACATAAGATGTTCAGCTTACTTACTGCACTTACTACCTCATAAAACCCTTGCCCAGACAGAATCATTTTACAAACAGATAGGGCCCACTACCAACAAGTTAATAGTAACATTTAGTGGGTACATTATGGTATACAGTGTGCTTCATTGAGTTGTACAAGTTAGGAACTGAATCAATGGCCTCCTTGGGAAACTTGGATATGAATAATAATGTATCTAAATATAAAGAATGAAATGAACACTTGGCAATTGTCCAGTCTAGATAAATGTGTAAGAATCAAACTGTACACCTTGTGTTAAAAAAATCACATTAGCCCTGAGAACTCTGGGGGCCCTGACAGTCTTCATAAATAATGTTGTGTATATGGTTGTTTGCATGGCAGTAGACTCTGCTGTTTAGAGTGGTCTATTCCATCTACACATACCTCTGAATGCTAGAATAGTTGCTTCTGTTTAATCCATGCATGATTCCCTTAATTTATCCCCAAAAGTCTTGATTCTGCTCCTCAGATTTCATAGAAAATATGTCCTTGTTTGTTCAAGAGAGAGGCATAGCTATTAAAAGATAGTTCTCAGGTTCATCAGCATCCTTATTCAGCAATTCCTCATATGATAAGAACTCATGTCTTTTGAGCCATTCTAGCTACTCGTTTAGGGACATCCTCTCCTTTCTCCCCTTGAACATGCAGTGGCTAGAATAGACCATATATAGAACAGTCTACGCATGGTCTTGTCCAGACGTGATTACCTAGACTATCACTATTTCCCTTTCTTATACTTGGCTCTGACATTCTAGTGTTCATTCAACCTCCAACCAAAAATGAAAATTTTTGCCACAATCCTGCTTTTACATATATAAATGTGCTTGTATTTCTGGAACCCAAGTACAAAGTCATATTTACCCCCATTAACTTCCATCTTTGACCTATAGTCTATTATCATATTCTCCAACAGCTGAAAACCTTTGGAAATTATTTTCCTCTGATTTTTATCCAGGCCATTAATATAAGTTGTAATGCAGAAAATACCAATGACAGAGTCCTTTGTCATGTACTAGACTCCTTCTTCATCAGGATCTTTGACTGTCTAGTTACTAATCTCAATTGCTTATATGCTCAGATATTTTCAATTGCTCTATTACTTAGGAATCATATTTTTCCAGAAAGGTCTTTCAAATAGGGTCAAATTCATTTCAGGTACTGGTACTCTCTCTACTCCATTTCTCTAATTGGCAGTTCAAGAACTGTCTTAAATAAAGAAAGGCTGGGTTGACATTACTCAATCTTTGGAACAACTGTTTATTGTTCTTTCATTTATGCTGGAAGTTTCCCTCTTTAAAACAAATCATTGTTCCTTTTTATAAAATAGAAAATTCAGAAATGTTAAGAAAGATGAAAAATTATGGTTCAAGTATTCATACAAGTTATAAAATCTGCAATATAGACTACTTAAAGAAATAAGGCCTTTTTTTATTTTTCAGAGAGGTTTTTGCTAAAGGACATGTGTGCTTGCCAGAAAGACAGAGAGAGACAGAGAGACAGAAAGCAAGAAATCATCCCCAGGGGGGAATGGCCACCGGCAATCCCTTCTCCTTTTGGAATCTTGGGCACACATGCACACGCACCCGGCGTGAGTTTAAGACACTAGGTCTGGGCCTCGAACCTTAGTCGACTACATGGGAGTCCAGTGACATAGCCATTACGCCAACTGCTGGTACCAAGATAAGGCCTTTTTTTTTTTTTTTTTTTTTTAACAAAAAGAACATACCAAGAAGATAGAAGAATGAGAAAAAAAATTAAAATAAAGGAGAACACTCTAAATGTGATCTCTAAAAAGCTCAAGTTACAAAAAAGTGAAAACTTACAAAAGATAAAAGTGAGAAAACTATTAATAATTTGTTGCTTTCACATTTGAAGAAAGAAAGATGAGCACCCTCCACAGGGTCTAGTCATGTTGTGATCCTCTTCCTCCAGTTCTCCAGCCTGTTGGATCTTGGGCACTTGAAAAATGCCTACTGGGCCATAGATTCAAAACACAGTTGCCATACGGGATCTGATCTCTCTTGAAGAGTACATTACCATTGCATTGTGGAGCTGGCCCAAGTATACTAATATTAAATACAGTCTGACAGATTTTTCACCAAATTAACACACACCTATGATCAAAGCATTTAACCTCACCAGCACTCCAAAAGTCTCCATTACACTCATTTTCATGACTTCTTATTCATAAAGGTAAATACAAACCTGACTCCTGTAGGAATCTTCTCTTTAAAATGTAGATGGTAGAGAGTGGGTGTTGGAGGGTGGGTGTGAGGTGACAGGAGGAGGAAACATGTGACAGATGGAAAAATGTAAAAAAAAATAAAATTATTATGAAATTAACTAAATTCTGTTGTGTAGCAGGTTATTTCACAAATTGGTTTAATTATATATGTTCATTAGGAATTAAAATATGCAATATGACATTTCTATTCATCCCAATAATTTTAAGCTAATTGTTGATTTGTCTTGTGTTTTTCATTTTTATCCTTGATTATATCTTGATTAAATTAAAAATGTGGTCACATTGAAGGAAATCTCAGGTAGCTGTGGATGTTCTACTGCCATCTCTTGCTCACTGTGTACTTGTGGGAACTTTCTAACTCTCCTCAGAATCATCTTCCCTTCTGTAATTTCTTGTATGAAAAGGAATCATTTCCTACCATCAAACACTGTACACTATCCTTTATGAAGTCTGTTTTCTATAACCTAGAGAGCATGTCTGATCACGCTCAACTCTTCTTGACTCGCATAAACATGACATTGACACATTTGCTTTCTTCTAAGTTCCTGACAACTTTAATTCCATGACCAATTTGTCTTTGGTGTTTAATTTAGGTATAGAATAACAAAACCCTGAGTCACTCTCTTGACCTTCTGGGTGATTGAATTGTCAGTGAGTCAATCAGGAATATGCTGGACACTGTGAACTTTGTCATAAGGAGATCTGACCAGCATACTGTTTGTCCAAAGTCTTCCATTAGTTCAACGAATGGGAAATGAGCACTTTCTTGGTGTTCAGATTGTATAAGACTTTGGGAGAAAGACAAAAAATGGTATATTTTCTGTCCTATCTGTATTGTATCCTACATCTCAGTCTGTAATATATGCTAGGATAGCACAATACAATTTCATTTCTCTATCATTTTAGCCTCACTCACATTCCACTTCCCACTTCAGACTTGAAAATCTGCCAACAAGTACATCACCCTGGGGTAAAACACACCATCCTTATTGTTGTGCTTCTGTTGTGCCAGTGCTGTGCAATATTAAGCAAGTCACTCTCCCTCTCTATGGGTCAATTTCACCATCAATAAAATAAGAGAAAGGAGTGGAGGATGTCACTTTGGTAAAATAAACAAGTCATAATGTTGCTTCCAGTTGCCAAATGCTGAGTCTTGTTTTGGCTACTGGCACTATTCTTTCAGTACTCTCTCTTTTTGGTTCTTGATACTACTCCACAGCCTCTCACTGCAAGCAAATAGCTTCATATTTATTTTTTATAATTGTTACCTACTTTATACTTCAGAATGTCTCACACCTGGACCTACTCATAACCTCTAGTTTCAGACTAGGCCAAGTCTTATCCATCCAATAATCCATCTATCCATTCATCTGCTCCTTCAACTATTTACTGAAATTATACGACGCCTCTACAACTGAGGAGCTCATAGTGTAAGTATCAAAGGCAAGTGTTTCAGTAGCTGCTCATTATCATTCAGAAGGACTTAGATGATATTGTACTGCCAACCTGATCATGAAGCCCTTTGTACCTACATTTTGCCTTGACCCCAAAGTCTTCCCATAGTTTTTCCATTTACATTGGCGATGCCTTAATTTTCCACTAAGACTGGGCTGGGACACTGCTAACCTTTCTAATTCTTTGTTGATTTACTCATTTGTTCAGCCGACTAACAAAGATTTATTGAATTATCACTAAGTGCCAGGCATTTTGCTGGGTAGTCAGATTATAAAATGAGCAAAATGGACATGGTCCTTGTCCTTACAGATCATACAGGCAGACTTGTGGGAGAGACAAATGTTAGAGAACTGTTCTCACAAATAAATACCTATTTACAAGTTGCAATAAACACTATGTGGTGCTATATATCTGTAAAGAAGATGACATGAAATGTAGGTAGGAAGGGAGAGAGCCTACAGCTTTGAGAAAGACCATTTAGCCTGACATCTAGACAATAAGTAAAAGTTAGATATAGTCAGTGTCAAGGAAGGTTGTTCAAAACTCAGAAATAGATGTGCAAAGACCTGGAAGTAGAGAGATGCATGGTGCAGTTGAAGACATAAAGAAGTCTGGTGTGGCTGTAATTACAATGAATTACTTGAGCCATGATGAGAGATGAAACTAGAAATGTAAGCCTGGTAGAGCCTTTTAAACTGTAGAGCTTTTATCTGTATTTTAAGATCAACAGGACCCCATGAAAGAGTTATGTGAGCAGGTAGAATAAACTATTCAAATTTATGTTTTAAAATGTAGAAGCTGTTGCATAGAAAACAGACTTGGGGTACAAAAGAAATGAGTAGGTGAGAAGAAGGAGGTGGAGTCATCTAGCCAAGACACAGTGATGGCTTGGACTAGGAGATGGGCAGTGGTTCTGCCCTAACCTCCTCCCACTTAGAAAGCATATTTTAGCTTGCTTATCTCCAGAGCTCTCCCACCAACCCATCCCACTACATGCTTATGGATCAGTTTGGGCATCTGGTAAGGGAACTGGCTCTTCAGTCTACTTTCTTGTAACACAGCTCTTCTTGA